TTTGTAGCTGGCTACTTAGTAAAGAAGTTACTATAATCTTGTAAATTAACATAGTAATTATCATAACTTAAAGTGGCTATAGAATAAGTTATTTTATAGCCAGCTACATGGTGTGTGTGTATATATATATATATATATTACAGTACATAAAGTTGTAGTACTCGGGACTCAGGAAAGAAGAGAGCAGTTGCATGCAGATAGCGGCGAGAAAAAGTATAGCAGAGCAGAACACTTGCATATGGTTTGGTTGGACAGGAGCTCGGGATCGCGGGGGCCGTCCGTGACAGAGGCGGACCTGCTGCTGCAGCACACCACCTTGGCCAGCCACGACCAGAACCCCGCCATCTACCTAGCTCCGGCGTCGGCGATCGATCGGCCTTTGCTTAATTGCGAATTGCGATGCCGATCGATCGACCTGATGAGGCGGCGGCCGGCGGGCGTAATAAAGTAACGTGGGATCGGACTGGAAAAGTAAGTCGTAACCGAACGATGAAGCAGTCCCAGGTGGCGCGATGAAGCAGGATTTGTGTCGAATGAATGCACCCTAGCTAAAATACTCTGTCCAACTACACAGTACAGACAAGAGATTTGCATCGAGTGAGGAGTCTTGTTCGAGCATCAATTGATTTGATTTTAATCGACACGATGAAGCCCCAAGCTACCCGATTCTGCTTCTCTTCTGTACTTCTGTGAATGCGCAGAGTAACATGAAATCAATCAAATCGACATGGAACGCAGCACGACATCTCAATCCTGGATGGTGCCGTAGACTTCAGGTATCAATCAAGCTGGAGTGCCACTCTGCTTTGTACCGACTCTTCTTCAAATCCAAGCGAGTCTCCGACTCAAAGGGTATTCTGCTCCACCTTCCGCAGCGTACGGAGTACATTCCTCGTGTATCGATGCAGGACTTTATTTTCTGTTATAATATCTGCTTGATGTGCGTTTCCAATGGTGTTCTGGTAAACCAGATGGCTACGACATCAACATAGGCCCCAGGGCCCATAACACAGCAGAACAGCAAGTACGGCTGACTGTGTTTCTTATTGCTAATAATGCCAAATCTGGCCAGTCACCAAATTACACAATTTTGGCAATACCAAAACAGAAGAAAATAAGTGCAAGTTTGACCGCTGTTCATTGCAGAAACTACATTGTTCAGGTTAATTACTTTTACCAAGCTAAGCTCTGCTGCTGTCATAAGCTTGTGATGTCACAAAACCACAAATGTGTCACAACTCTAGCAAAGAACATGATTCTTCCAAATAGGCCTTGTTTAGCTCCAAAAAGTTTTCCCAAAAAGTGCTACAGTAGCCATCACATCAAATCTTGCGATACGTGCATGGAGCATTAAATGTAGACGGAAAAAAAACTAATTGCACAATTTGGTGGGAAATCACGAGACGAACGTTTTGAGCCTAATTAGTCCATGATTGAACACTAATTGCCAAATAAAAACGAAAATGTTACAGTAACCAAATTCCCAAATTTCACGAAACTAAACAAGGTCATAGCAGGCATACAGATATTATTGGTTAAACGCCTCTACAATATATAATAGGATAACAAAATCGAGAGGAATACCACCCTGAGTATGATTCATTTATTTCAAATTATGAAAGAACAGAATTAACAATCTCTAATAATTCAAAACTCGTATTTAATAAATCCCTTTGATAAACAGCGTGTATATAATTTAACCATGACCTAAAACATCTGCTACAGTGGCACCTTTTTCAATTAAACAAAATATAGATATCACAGAACTGGACAGCTGAGTATGTTACTTCCTATCAATAACCAGCCACACTAACTTGCCATCATAATTAATGCACGTACCGTTCCAGAAGTCCAGAACACCCAAAAGAGACAGGTTAAGGCTCTCATATTAGGCAGGCAAGACCCAGCAATTATTTTCTCCTAAAAATATCGCTAATTAATTACCCTTCATCATAACCAGCTAGCCATTTGGGAATAACATCTAACGCCCACTTAAGAAATTTAACGAAACAAAGGGTGTACATTGAAATACAAAAGAAAATCATTAGCATAGCCATCACTCTGGTTGTAGCATGATCTAAATAAAACAAACTCTGAGTACAGTTCCAAACTTATAGATGACATTAGATTGCTTCTATTTTTGCACAGGAGAACTTAAAAGTTCAAAAATTTGCTTCATTGCCCAGCTATCCAAGTTTTTTGGCTAGAAGTTTTATGACACATGCTCCCTATCTTATATTAGGTATAACATGAGCTGGATGGTTCAACGTACATGAGATGATTAATGAACCCACATCCTTGGCATACTAGCAATGTATATACTATCTAGTAATGCTAAATGATTTTGTAGAGTTAGCAAAAAAGCAATAAGAGAATTGATGTAAATCATTTTATTGTCTACTAGTTATGTATAAGGAAAGTCACCAGCAATTGCTCGACAGAATTGTGCTGACCTGGGTGATTGCAGAGTGTAAATGTCAGAAATGATATAATACATATAAAGTTACTGCTCTAACAGCCAGCATGCCATCTTGGGCCTCTATAACCTGACAAAAGACAATAACCTAGTTTTCCCAGAGCCACCACAGCTATAACATCTAAACAATATGGCTAGTGAATATACAAGTAATATTACACAGCTGCAACCCACATTTGACAGCTGGAGCAAAATGCATGTCAACAACAAAAATATCAAGATTACATCAAATGCATATTATATGATTGATGACAAATAAGCAGCTTCTAGAGTTTTACCTTTCCAAATTCCAATAGTACAACTCACAAGAACTCTGGCAAATTGGTAATACTGCGTAATCCATTAATGTCAAGCATATACAAAAAATTCCTTGATCCGGGAATGCTTACATCGAGATTTGTGGCAAAAAGTTTGACAATCTGGGTCAAAAGAGAAGTGTTTTGATATCAATATTTCTCTACCAGAATAAAATTCCTATTTCTAAACAAAATATTTCTCTATTGGAAACTACTTCATTTCTTAGTAAAATAAAAAAAATACAAGTAAATTCCTAAAATGAATCCAGCTTCACAATATTTAGAATTGGTACTTTGTTGAATCTATTTATTGATATATTATAGGTTACTAAATTAACCATACAAGCAACTCATAGGTATGCCAGATAAGCTAATATGGAGATATAACTAGGTCTTAACAACTTGTTTCGTTCATCTTGCATGGTAAAAGTAAAAGGAAAAAGGAAAAGGAAGATACATTCTGACTTAGATTACGAGGCTGCAACAAACCTGATGCTGCATCTGGACCCAAATTCAGTAATTTCTATAAAATTCTAAAGAACAAATTCAAATCCATCATTAACACTTTCAGCATCCCAGTATGGTTAAAATTACAGAATTTTTTTTTTTGCCAGATATAACAAGAGTCACGACTCCCAGCTACACAATAGAACCAAATATACACAATTTCCATATTCACACCAATCCATATTCAAGCAGAACCACTGCCCACTGGAGTACTGGAGCCAGTTAGGAGTTGGAATATACAAATGTTTGCTAAGATATGGTTGGAAAAAGTCAACAAATCAGTGACAGAACAAGGTTGATGACAAAGTCAACGCAATTAATGTAGAGGAAGTTGCAGCACTGAGATGAGTACAGAACTATATATATGGAGTATGAAGAGTACACAAGGGGCAACTAGTAGACATTAGTGCCAGTGCATCTTATGCCAAACTATGTAATATGATTCATTAAAATAAAAAAGGGGCGTACCCAGTGCAGAGAGCTCCCACTCTGTGCGGGGTCTGGGGAAGGGTGTCAGTGGCAAGCCTTACCCTCGCCTGTGCAATGCGAGGAGACCGCGACTCGAACCCGGGACCTTCCGGTCACAGGCGGTAAGACTCTACCGCTTGCACCAGGCCCGCCCTTCATTCATTAAAATAAAATAAAACTATAATAATAATCGATCAATATCATATTTATATTACCTGGTACATATTTAATGCTAATTCTGTCATAGGCTCATAGCTATTACAGTAATGCATGGAGATACAAATGTGTCCTGATTTGCACAAGAAAGAAACATATCCTATAATCATGGCCCATTCGCAGTATTCGAACATACAGAAATGACCTCAGATCATCTCTGCCTTCAGCCAGGACATTGACAAATCTGTCTCAAATCTCCATAAGCAGGTTACACTCAAACATGAAGATCAGTCAGTCCAACCATCAGCCAAGACTTGGCAAAATCAGTAACAAAAATTGGCATCCCTGAGCTGAAGGTTGCAATCATGATAGTTGCTGATAAATTAGTTGCTTCATTATCGATGTTTGCATCAAAAGTACCACATGCAGCAAGTTCATTGCAAAGGAATGTGGAAGTTGATAACAGCATGCTGCAAATTCATGGCAGCAAGTTCTTCTAAAGTTAACATTAGCTGCACTTGATGCAACTATACAACTAAAAGCAATGCCCAACTCTTCAACTAACAACACAACAAATGAAAACATTCCAATGTATATGAGTTCGACTGGACACGATCATTAAAATGATAATGTACATCACTGTAGCATCAAGAAAAACTATGATACTTTATCATTGAGGGATGCAAACCTACACACACATTAGCTCACTATTATTTTGTGTGCGCTGTTGCAAGTATAGTCCAGAAAACTGGAATACAGTAGCTCACTCCAATGTACTCCCCCTCCATTTCAAATTATAAGTCGCTTTGACTTTTTTGATATATAGAATTTGCTATATATCTAGACATATATTATATCCAGATGCATAGCAAAATGGATGTACCAAAAAAGTTAAAGCGACTTATAATTTGGAACGGAGAGAGTACCATATTGATAAAACAAGAATGATAGAAAGAAGGAACCATCAAGCAACAAAAAGTAGTCAAGAATACTTAAGACAAATTTACTTTGTTATTTCAAGATCTGGTGCATTTTGTACAGCGTTCATGAAAAGGCACACTGAAAAGAATATATTGTGAACTCCTAAACTATATGAATCAACTAAGCTGAACAGTTGTAAGAAGCCTTGTGAGTTTACTGAGGGTTTCTCGAGCAGAAACAGTGTCAGGATGGTGCTCGCCACAGATAGAAGTGCGGATAAATATCGCCTTTCTTATCAGGTCATCTCCAATGTCATATTGTCCACCCCGGAGCATCAGCTTGGCCCTTGTTTCCAGTACAGAAGCTTTCAGAAGAGCCAGCTCCTGCCAAAGATAAGTGTACTGGGCTTCTGAATGAGCTTGCCTAAAGCAGGAGAATGATGTTTCTCTCCATTTTCCAGCATGAACAAGCATGGACTCAGCTGCTCTCTCTAATGCATCAGTGCACAGGCGAAGCAGGTCTAGTGCTGCGTTACAGCGGGAGTATGTTATAAATGTGTGTATTGCAAGTGGCATGACAATCTGTTTCACAAAGAACATTAGTTCAGATGGTCTCAGTTCTACCAACAGAGGATCAGAACCAAATCCAAAAACCATGAAGCACGAAGCCCACAGGTGCTCGGAGGAAAGTTTGATTGAGCCTTGGAGGTACACTGATTGGACCACGGCCTGAGCTGTTCTTGTGCCTCCTCGCTTTCGAGCATATAGCCTGATCAGATCATGGAACTGTACATGTTCAGGCTTTGCACTGCATCTGGCAATTCCAAACCTTATTAACATTGCAGCTGCTTCAGCTTCAGATCTCTTCATCCTAGAAGTTGCAAGGCCACAAGTAAGTGTTCGCCACCACTTCCTCCACCTTGGACCCCTCCGGTGCTTCTTTGGGACTTTGTGTGCAGCCCAAGCCAACATGTGAACTGGAACTGCAGAGGGTGCAAACCAACCACATACTTGAACCATCCGAGTTGCCAGACTCCTAGGACCATCTGCATGGTCAAATATTGATAAGCACACATCCAGCAGCCGGACAAGGATTTCATGATTTTTCAAGCTGAGAACTTCTCTGTCATTCCATGAAGAATTCCTGATGAGCGGTGTACGATTCAATGTGTCAAGTAGCCTAGTTGGAGTGATTGGAAGCTCTGAGAGTATAGCTCCAACAATACTTAGGCCAAGAGGTAGTCTTCCAAGCTTTTCCTCAATGATTTTGAGTGCATCAGTTTCCACCAGTGGATAGTCCTTGACACCTCCCTTCATTAAAGCCATTGCCTCAGCACCAGATAAATAAGAAAGCTTCATTGGTTCCAAGTTCATCACTCGTGGAAGACGTGTTGTTATGATAAAGTGAGTCTCCCCACCAAAGTGTGGCAGAAGGTCCATTATGACTCTCTTATCCCACCAGTCCTTCTCACTCTCCAAATTATCAATTATGACTAAGAATGGTATGTCGCGCATCAATTCTTGACGAATTTTGGCAATGGCTTCCTCTTCTTGCTCTTCAAAGCATCGATCACTTCCCTTTTCATGCAAGTGAGTACCTACACTTAAGTCAACTTCCAGAAAAGTTCGCAGAGCCAAATAGTTCTGTCGAATATATCGGCTTTCCCCTCTGACCCACAGAACCATCTTGTATCTCTGGAAGAATCTATATGCATACTCCAAAACCATGTCTGTCTTGCCAATTCCAGGCTCCCCTGATATGCAAGCAATACCCTTACCATAAAGTATCTTCCTAGATCTTTTTTTCCTTCCACACCTTACGCCATTCTTCACTCTCACTGGACGCCCATGCCGCAATGGACTACCCAATCTCTGCATCTCAATATCTTTCTCAGTCTCCTTCCAAGAAACTGGCTCCTTACCTTTGCTGTCATCGGTATTTACGTGCTCATGATTGTTAGTAGACCGCCTAACTGCAAGGCCTTTTCTTCTCTGCTTTGTCTTGAGCTCAAAATATTCTCTTTCTCCATCTCCCGTGACATCACCAAACAAAATGAGTTCTAATTCAGAGAGCTCTTTTTTCCTGCCGACAAAATCATCGTTACGAGGGAAAGGGAATTCCTCCTTCTCCATCCTCCCTTTCCACCTGTTCACCCTATCAACCACGCTTCTCCTGCCTAATTTTGTGGCCAAAAGAATGATTGCTTGCAGTATGCAATCTCTCCAGTTGCCATCATTTGCTTCTAATTGCACATCTACCACCCGAGAAAGAGCATCAACTGATTCCATCCACTCATGTTCCATCCCACCATACAACATCCACAGCTCACCGCCATGTTTCTCCCACAATTCTCCTCGCTTCTCGATGATATCCCTGGCAAGGCAATCAGCTGCATCCAAGTCGAAAAATATAGGGATAAGATTTTTCTTACCAAAGAAGTTCCTGAGCTCCTCAATGGTATAAGGGTTGCCAAATGACTTCTTCGTGAGGATAACAACTCCATAGGTGGAAGCATTCATTATCCTCTCGACAGCATCGTGGCTGCGAGAATTTCGGCATCTAGACCTGTCAAAAACAAAGCAGCTGATTCCATGGATCTCTAGTTCTGCACGGAGCCAGTTTGTGAACCTCAGCAGTGAAGCCTTGCGGCCGTGAAATCCAATGTACACATCGTAACTGCGAATCCTACTGACAGAGGCCGCTGATGTTGTCGGTTGGGACGATGATGATTTCCGATATATCCCCCCTAGCCTCTTGTGTTTTTCCTTCGGAGCAGAACGACCACCATTGCTGGTCGCTGATGAACTACCTTGGCATGGGCCATTGAAAGTAGAAACAAAGCTGGGATTGTTGTAGACAATCGCTGGAGTGCCAAAGTTGCTTGAAGTGCAGAGGCTAATAGGAGGAGACACATCTGACGGCAAGACCCCGACACTAGCTGATGGTAACTGCTCCTGTGGTGTGAAGGAATCACCAGAGAGTATATCACAGATTTTCAGCGCAATGCCATTGGAAGGGCACTTGTTCTCAGGATCAGTGTGCTCCGGGACACGGGCAGACAGTGACCGTGGCGTGAAGAAAGGGGACTGGTTTGCTGAAACAAATGCCGATGAAGAGGACGAGAGGTTCTTTGATGCTGCCGAGACCAGCGCCTCGGCATCGGAGGTTTCATGTTGAAGCTTCATAAAACCATTTTGAGCTCTGCCCACCCCCTCAGAGTAGTTTGGAGTTCAACTCATCCCTGTGGCAATGGTGTTGAACAAATGATTCCCCTCAGTGACCTGAACGTAATAGTAAAATGATACATATTGAAAGCAGCCTTCTGAGAGAAAAATGGTGTTGATGAACATGATGTGTAGTGTAGGTGGTACAAGTACAATACAACAGAGACGCCAAGCATTTGAGTGGTCTCTGCGGTGAAGAAACAGACAAAGAAGTACGAGCAGCAAAAAAGGACATTTGTGTTTGGCTGGTATAGTCCTGGCTAATACTATTCAATCATCCGAAACCAGCCAAAATCTACTGTTCATCGGACCATCCGAAGCGAGCTAGTACCTCATGACTACTGACCCAAACAGGAGTAAGTGAGATTCAACAGGCTGTAAGCTTAGCGGCATATTAAATCGGCGATCCAGAAAAAGCAGGCAATCATGGGTGAATCAGCAGTAATCGCCCACCGAGTACTCGGAGACAAATAAAACCAGTCCAACAAATGGAGGGGGGAGTGCAAAAAGGCTGCTGCTATGTTTGCTATGAGCTGTGCGCTCCACTGCGTCGGCAATGAATGTGTGATGCAATGGCATTAAAAAAAAGTGTGATGCGAGAGAGCATGATAACAGCGGCATCATTCGGTGTTACGGACAGATAACCACGGGACGGGAGTAGGTGATTGAGCCATGATGGTGCCGAGGGTAGGGTACAACCAGCACCGAGTAGGAAGGACGAACCTGGGGCAGGAGCGGCGGCGGGGCTTGGTGCGCGGCCGCGCCGAGCGGAGGGGTGGAAGGCCGGGGATGGCAGAAGTTGCGCCGTCGACGTCACCGAAGAAGAGAAGGAAGCACCTGAGCAAATGAACGTGGCGATGGGTTCGGATCAGCACGGGAGACAACAAACAAAACAAGCAAGCCGAGGCGAGGAGGGGGAGAGGAGATTTGGATCTGGGTGCGAAGCGTACCAACCGAATCTGAGGAGGAGCAGGACGAGTGAGCGGCGACAGGAGGCCCGCCCGCCTCCGCGCGCGGATCTCGGCTGGGCAGGCGAGGGGGCCGCCGCCGCCGCTTCCGCTTTTGTGGCTGGCGGGGCGAGGATCCAGCGGAGGGAGAGGGAGCGCGGGGAAGGCGGAAAAAAGGTGGGAGAGACGACGAGGGAGGGAGTGAACTGAACTGAAGCGAAAAAGTGGGGGATTAGCGAGATGCACCGCAATTACAGTGATTTTAGCGAGGGCGGGGGTGGATTAGGATCTTAGATTAGCGTGGTCCGTGCCGTGCCGTGCCCTGCCAGTGCCAGCGTGCCCACTGCCGCGTTCGCTGCTGCTTCTCGCCTCGGTCTTCTTCCCTTGCGTTGCGTCCCCATGTGTCGTGTGTGAGCGATTGATGAATCGAAGCGGCTGGCCTGCCGCTTGCCAGGTGCGTGGCACCGTGCCAGCTGCCAGCTGCCAGCCCAGACGGGTGCCGAGCCGGGAGCGGCAGGCCGGCAGCGGATGGAGTGGCCGTAGCGGGCGCAGGCTCTAGCCTGACCTGGTGTACGTCGTGTCAAGTGTGAATCAAGTCGCCCGTCCGAGAGAGTAGAAGCGCCCAGCGAGCACGAATCCCGCCCAACAAAATCTAAAAAGACCATCGTAATCCTCCGTCTCCATGAAAGAAACTAACGTTTCATTTTTTTTTCCTTTTACTTTGTTTCCTTTGTACTTCATCAGTCTATTAGAAACATAGGCTAAGTGGACCGTTTCGCCAATGCTACAAGCCCTTACAATTGCTTGATCGAAGGGGACAGCAATTACCGATGGCCCCTCAATGATCCCACGAGCTCTAAGCCAGCTAGGTGAAGAGAATCACCAAAAGTAACCAGAACGCCAAAAGCCCCCAAGCTCAACTAGGGCCTTGAGATGCAAATCGACGATGCAAATGCACTAGAGGCTCACCAATCTCACCAAAATATAAATCAAAGTGATGCAAATGAGTAGAGTGTGTTGCTCAACTCTCAAAGAGTGTACACCAATGCTCCATCTATTTATATGCCTACTCGAGAATTCAACCATTACCGTCTTGAGTCAACTTTTGCATGAGCATGAACAACTTCGGTGGAGCAGCGGATGCCGCACTGGAGTGCTCTCCAACAGCTAGTTTCCAACAACTAAAAAATATCCATTGAACTATTGCAACTCCGGTGACAGCTCCGGTGCCGCATCGGACGACGTACTCCAGTGAACACGGCCAGCGAGTCCCCGAAAACACCTTCACTAAAAATCAAGGTCCAGTGACTTGTATAGTGGTGCATTGGACGGCATCGGTGCGTGCTAGTACTTGAAAGCTCTAGTTTAGTTTTGGTGGATTGATGAAACCCTAAGTGCTAACCTAGTTTATCAAGTGATCATGACATATGTAGCACATTCCAAGTGACGAAGCAAATGAAGATCATGACATGATAATGGTGATGCCATGGTGATGATCAAGTGCTTGGATTTGAAAAGAAGAAAGAGAAAAACAAAAAGTTCAAGGCAAAGGTATAAATAGTACGAGCAATTTTGTTTTGGTGATCGAGACACTTAGTGAGTGTGATCACATTTAGAATCGATAGCCATACTATTAAGAGGGGTGAAACTCGTATCGGAATGCGGTTATCAAAGTGTCACTAGATGCTCTAACTCATTGCATATGCATTTAGGATCTACTGGAGTGCTAACACCCTTGAAAATGTTTATGAAAATATGCTAACACATGTGCACAAGATGATACACTTGGTGGTTGGCACATTTGAGCAAGGGTGAAGAAGATAGAGTTGAAAAGGAGTTGGTCACGCAGTGACCGGACGCTGGCCTCGGTTGGACCGGCGTGTCCGGTTAGTAGAAGCTGCAGAGACGCTGGCGTTGGTCTCTGACCAGACGCTGGGTCACTTAGTGACCGGACACTGGAGGGTTGCGTTCGGTCCTGCTGACGTGGCAGCGCACAGGGGAGTCGCCGTGTGACCGGACGCTGGGTGAGTACGGTCGAGCATGACCAGACACGTCCGGTCATGAAAAATCGTCTCTAGATGCTTACTGGAAACGACCGGACGCTGGGGTTCAGCGTCTGGTCACTTTGAGCTGCTGCGTCCGGTCATCACTTGACCGTTGAGATCGGGCGATCGACATTTGAAGAGAGGGGACACGTGGCACGCATCGCGTGACCGGACGCTGAGGTCCAGCGTCCGATCAATATGACTGAAGCGTCTGGTCACCCCGTGCTGTGCCCAGTGAAGGGGTACAACGTCTCTATTTCGTGGGGGCTTCTATTTAAGCCCCATGGCCGGCTCAAGCTCACTCTCTTGGCCATTTGTATTGACATAGCAACCTTGTGAGCTTAGCCAAAGTCCTCCCACTCATCTCCATCATTTGATTTCCAAGACAATTGGTCTTCATTGTTATTCATTCTTGTGATTGATTGGCTCCTTCCTCGACACGGTGAAAGGTCCTAATAGCTAGAGGGGAGGCGAATAGCCTAATAAAATTTCTACAACAACACTTAACAAAAGGATTAGACAATTATGAGGCAAAGCGAGTTTTGCGCTAGCCTACCAAAATGCAAGCCACCTACCACAATTCTAGTTTAGATGGAGTATATCCACACAATAGCTATATCACTACACTAAGTTAGTGTGCTCTCAAATGCTAACTAAAGAGCCACACTAACCAAACTAATAAGCTCTCACAACTAGTTACACTAAAGAGCTTGACAACTAGTTTGCGGTAATGTAAAGAGTAGGCAAGAAGGTTATACCGTCGTGTAGATGTATGAACCAATCAATCACAAGTGTGGATAACAATAAAGACCAATCACCTCGGAATCAATGATGAAGACAATGATTTTTTTACCGAGGTTCACTTGCTTGCCGGCAAGCTAGTCCTCGTTGTGGCGATTCACTCACTTGGAGGTTCACGCGCTAATTGGCTTCATACGCCAAACCCTCAATAGGGTGCCGCACAACCAACATAAGATGAGGATCACACAAGCCACGAGCAATCCACTAGAGTACCTTTTGGCGCTCCGCCGAGGAAAGGTCAAGAACCCCTCACAATCACCACGATCGGAAACGGAGACAATCACCACCCTCCGCTCGACAATCTTCGCTGCTCCAAGCCATGTAGGTGGCGGCAACCACCAAGAGTAACAAGCGAATCCCACAGCGAAACACGAACACCAAGTGCCTCTAGATGCAAACACTCAAGCAATGCACTTGGATTCTCTCCCAATCTCACAAAGATGAATCAATGATGGAGATGAGTGGAAGGGCTTTGGCTAAGCTCACAAGGTTGCTATGTCAATGTAAATCACCAAGAGAGTGAGCTTAAACCGGCCATGGGGCTTAAATAGAAGCCCCCACGAAATAGAGCCGTTGTACCCCTTCACTGGGCAAAACGTGGGGTGACCGGACGCTGACCCTCAGCGTCCGGTCACGTGATACACGCCATGTGTCCCCTGCTTCAAATGCAGTTCATCAGATTCCAACGGTCGTCTATTGACCGAACACTGCGCGCAAACTGACCGGACGCTCAGCCTCCAGCGTCCGGTCGTTTCTAGTAAGGTTCCAGAAACGATATTTCACGACCGAACACGTCCGATCATGCTTGACTAGACACAGCTAGCGTCCAATCACTTGTTGACTTCACACTGCGCCGTTGATCAACACGACCGGACACATCCCTCCAGCGTTCGGTCGCTGAGCGACCCAGCGTCCGGTCGTATGACCGACGCCAGCGTCTTCGCTGTTACAACTGACCGGACGCGCTGGTTCCACTGAGACCAGTGTCCAGTCACTTTGTGACCAGCGAGACCAACTCATCTTCACGTCTATCTTCTTCACCCTTGCTCAAATATGCCAACCACCAAGTGTATCACCTTGTGCACATGTGTTAGCATATTTTCACAAACATTTTCAAGGGTGTTAGCACTCTACTAGATTCTAAATGCACATGCAATGAGTTAGAGCA